GCAGCGCGCAAGTTCTTGATGTCACCATATTCGGAGAAGGCCTCGAAGATATCGTCCTGTAGCTCGCGACTGAGAGTCCAGCGCTCTCTTATCACCCATATGAGGCCGAAACCTGAAAGACTGAACCTTGCAGTGTTCCGGGACATCATCTAGGGTTTAGCGGCTTAGAGGGTCACACCCCAACCTTGATCCCTCCACCCACACCCTCAACCTTGGACTCATACACCTCCCTCTGCCCCCTAAGGACACTGGGTCCTAGCCAAAGCAACAAAAACACGGCGCACGCACACACACACACACACCCGCCCGAAAGCCATGAAGCCCCTAAGCCCGTATCTCAATATCCGGAAAACCGTCTGAACGCCCATGAGAACACAAAGCGGACCTCTATGTTGCCAAAAATCCAGGATAAACCTCGTGCCCTTCAGAAAAGGCCCTCAAACAAAGAAAGAAGGCCTCAGAAGCCCAAAACTCTAAACCCTAAACCCCTAAAGCCTGCAACTCGAAACTTTGCCCAGCCTCTGGAGCCCAAAACACCCCGGAAACCCCCGAAAGCAGAAACCCCTGAAGCCCCAAAACCCCAAACCCTAGACCCTAGGGGTTTAGGGGTTTAGGGTTTAGGGTTCAGGTGTTTAGGGCTTCGAGTTTATATGGGTTTAGGGCTTTAGGGCTTTAGGGGTTTAGGGTCTAAACCCCTAGGCAGAAAGGAGAGAAGAGACCTCCTGGGCTTCCTCGTGGACGCCCGAGACCTTCTAGAGAGGGCAGAGAGAGTTCAGGGTGTAGGGGTTTCGGGTGTAGGGTTTTAGGGTTTACGGTTTTAGGGTTTGGGGTTTAGGGTTTAGGGTTTAGGGTTTAGGGTTTTAGGGTTCAGGGTTCAGGCTATGGTGCCTTCTGTTCTGTTCTGTGGTGCCCCCGACTGTGAGGAACTTGGGATCAATGGCATCACCAGCGAAGCCGATGGAAACACATGCCCCAAAACGGCAGACCCGAACACAACCTAGGGTTTAGGGCTTGGGGTTTAGGGTTCAAGACTTGGTGTTTAGGGTTTAGCAGACCCGAATACAACTGTTAAGATCTTGAGCTTGAGTTTCTGGGCCTTTATAAGTCTGCACATCAACGGGAATCTGTGTCTCCCTAAACGATGCGCCAAAACCTCACGTAGCAAGATAAGGATCCTGAGCTGCCCGCAATGACGACCCAGCCCTCGATGGATCTAGCCGCACCCGTCTCGTCCTTGGCCGCGTGTACGACAGGGCATGGACGCGCACAAGACAGCCATCGCAGCTCAGCAGCGACACGGCTCAAGTGCTGCAACACTGCAGAGCAACTTACAGAGCTGCAACTGTGCGAGATGCAAGCATGAGTCCACGGGACGCTTGAGACGCGCTCTTTGTTTACTCCTCCACGTCCCTTAGCCATGTCCGCATCAAAGTGTTGGCAAGCGATGCTCGGGAAGGAACGTTTAGGGAGGCAGGGGTACCGTCGGATGCCTCCTCCAATGACTCCAGTGCTCCTTGCAGGGTCGCACGGTCAAACCAGCCAACATCCTCGAGCTCGTCAGCATCGACTTGGAGGGTGGGGTCTGATGCCTCAGCGATGAAACCCATCATCAACGAGCGAGGGAAGAGCCAGGGCTGGGAGGCCACAAAGCGGATGCTGCTCGGATCCACGAGGACCCCCGACTCCTCCCGCACCTCACGGACAACGCACTCCTCCAGCGTCTCGCCGAACTCGACGAAGCCGGCCAAAGTCGAGTAGCGTCCGGGGGGCCACACGGCCTTGCGCCCCAGCAAGCATCGCTTCCTGGGTCGCAAAAACAAAAAGCCTACTGAAACCCTGAAACCCCTATTCCATCGTACGCCACGGATGCCCTGAAAACCTGGTAACGCCCGGCAGGGAACGAAGATCAGCCCTCATGAGCTTATGTCTTCGCACCGATGCAGAGCCCCAGCTTTTCACGAGGTTAGGCGTCTGATACTCACGGTTGTACGAAAGGTCGACTCAGAGCACCCCGAAACTACATGAAAAGCCTTAAACCCTACAAACTAAAATCTATCAACTTTAAAACCTAAACCCTAAACCCTACGCCCCAAGTAGAAGGAGTGCCCCTAAACTCTATAACCCCTAAACCCTAAACTTGGATCAAAGCCCTAAACCGCCAAAGGGATGATCTGAGTCACTTGTGGGTCACCAAGACGATGACCGAAGGGTCCAGGCGAGGACGGTAGCGCGCACCACAGGCCTACAGTAGGTTTCTGTTTTAGGGTGTAGGGTTTAGCACGACAGGCCTCCATAAAGCCTAGTGCGGAGTGCAGCTGAGGGTTGTTCTCAATGACGGTCCCTATGAGAGTCCATACTGTACATGTGCGTATACATGTGTATATATAAGCATAACTATTCATCATCGAGGTTGCACAGAACAACATATAATATGTGTAAATACAGCTCTGCATAAAACAACAATACACGCATAGTATATATATATACACAGATGAATAGGTAGACAAATAAGAGAGAAAGAAAGAATGAATGAGTAAATGAATGAAAGATAGATAGATAAATACATAGATAGATAGTTAGATAGGTAGGTAGGTAGGTAGGTAGGTAGGTGGTAGGAGATCGATCGGCAGATGGTTAGGGGTAGGTAGGTAGGTAGGTAGGTAGGTAGGTAGGTAGGTAGGTAGGTAGGTAGGTAGGTAGGTAGGTCGGTCGGTCGGTGGGTCGGTCGGTCGGTCGGTCGGTCGTAGGTGGTGGGTGGGTGGGTCGGTGGGTCGATAGGTTGAGGTTGGTAGGTAGGTAGGTAGTAGGTAGGTAGGCAGGTAGGCAGGTAGGAAGGTAGGTCGGTCGGTGGGGCGGTCGGCAAGTAGACAGGTGGGCAGATGTAGGCAGGCACGCGTTTGTGTGTGCATGCATGCAGGCAGGAATGAATACATACGTGCGCACGTACATGCACCTACAATACATTGAAAACACTGTGCCGTGGAAAGCTTATCCAAGCGGACCTAAGCACACGGCTTGGGTCTGGGCAGGTACACGAAATTCTAAAGACAAACGCTGTTGGGGGCAGACTTCGGTCAGCAGAAGTTTTGCCATGGCCTGGCTTTGGGCAGGTAAACGGCTCGCAAAGGCGAGGACACGGCTCGGCAGGTACACAGGCTCGGGTATCGTAACAGCGATCACAGGCTTGGCCTGCGGCAGGTACACGGTTAGTTACAGCGAGGACACGGCCTGGCCCCGAAACACGGCTCAGATCCTTACTTCAGGGACTTCCATTGAAGCACGAGGCCAAGGCGGGGCGGCCGGGCAGGTGGGTGTGGGGGCGGGACGGTTGGTGGCAGGCTGGAGCCTTCCACCAACTGGGAACAAAGACAGGTCCCGTTACAGACTGAACCCTACCCTCTCAGTCAATGATAATCATTCTATGGGGTTTCACGGTTTCACTTGCAAGCCAGTCTGTCTTGTTCTTGCTCCATGCATGTGTCTCGGTCACTCTTGTCTACAGTTCTTACATCGCAGATCCACTCTGCATGACGAGGCCACAGCTTGACCAATCGGGCAGTCTCGCCATCAATGGTGACCTCACCAGGCACCCCAGAGTGGACGCAAGTCATCCGACAGCCTAGGCTGGGCCTGGCCTCTGCGAAGTCCAAGATTCCGTATGCATGGGGCGCCTGGTTCACCGGCTTACCCAGCTTTGGCTGACTGCGGCATCAGCAACATGAACTCTGCAGCAGGTGTTACCACACTTGAGGCACACCTGCACAGATTCCTTCGGATACTAGTACAACACCAATCAATAAATAAATGTTCGAACGAGGGGGATAAGCAAAAACGAAAGCACGTGACACGATGATCGTCATCATTGCCTAAATTAGAACCTGAACATAAAGCCCTTCCAGCACCATGCCTGGAGCCCCATCTCCTCAACGATGTGAGTCCTGGACTTCTCACAGCCTGCAACCACTTTCACGAACCGGCGGTTGCTCAATTTGCTGTGCCGCTTTCGTCAAGTTTGAAGTTGGGACACAAACATGAGACGACTGCATGTCCATAACGCATGCTACAGCATGCTCCGCTGTGAGGCATGCTGCGCGACAGTGATTTCTGTGATATTACCGGTGCAAGGCTGTCTGACGGCAAGGTGCAACTTCGCACGACTTGCTCTGCCGAACCTACCCGTACCAAAATGCCAGGCAAAGGCTGGAAGGCGCAGGGCCCGACAGGACTGGAGTGCGCAGCTGACGCCAAACCTAAAGATCTTGTCCCAAAATGCCCCAAAATCGTCAGTCGACATGAATTGAAAGATCAGGCTGCTGCCAGTGTGTAGCAGCGCAACGCTGGAAGTTGCCTACCTGGCTGAAAGATCGGAGCCTTCTTCGGAGCAACCTGCGCCCAGCAAGTAGCCAGCTTCCTTCACGAACACCGCCAACGTGCTTCGCATGAAACTGCTAAAATTGCATGTCTGCAATATGTCCCTGAGGGCACAAATCATGTCGCCGGACGCGTCATGTTGCCTAAGGTTCACATGTCTGGCGTCTTGGGCGTGTTGGCAGCGAGCGTCCGAGCCTGGCAAGAAAGCAGTTTTGACCAGATGAGGTCATCATCCTCGTCATCGTCAGTGTCATCACCTAGGAAGCTTGCGGACAGTGCAGCGCTCGAATCTGTGGCGGCTGCAGCCTCACTTCACTCACCTCTCACCTCTTCTGTGGGTTCAGCACTCTCTTAGCTGCGGCCCTCTGCCTTGAGTTTTGTTCGGCTGCTGCGCAAGGCCGCTAGTCGGCCGCAGTTATGACATTGCATTCGCAGAGCTTGGGAGCGTCGCAGACAGAGCAGAAGATTGCCTTTCTTTGGGCATCTCCGCATCTCTAAGCAAGTGTTTGCAGTTTCTATGCCCGTCTTTCAGGAGAAATGGCACCGTATGCACCGTGGTACGGTGCCACGTGTGAGAGACAAGCTCAAGTTCAAGAGCATACGCGTCATGCGATTCATCAGCCGGTCGGCTAGCTGCCTCCTTGGTCAGCTGAAACGGGGGCGGCACTGAACGGAGTCAAGCCGGCCTTGTTCTGTCTCAGCCACATTGTTAAACCCTGCATCTGCGGGTGCAACTCCCTCGACTTTGCCGGGTTTCTGCGATGCATGCACGAATCATTGTAGTAACGGCAGTATTGGAAAGCATTAAACCAGTAGTCAGCTGCAAGGACACCGCTGCTGCTGAATTCGTCCTGGTCAACACACTTGAAACGAACCTCGGTCCCCAAAGAGCTTGAGAGGTGGTCCGCTATCTCAGGACCAGTCAGAAGTTCGCCACAAGCTGGAACATGGTGTCCGACAAGCTCAGAGTTTTGAAAGATGTGATATGCAACAAGGCCTATGTCCGCTGCAGCGATCAGGGGCAGTGCCCTGGTCTTCATTGGAAGCATGAATGTTGCATCGCCAGGGCCGCCAGAGCACAGCTTGGGACCCATGGCAAAAGTGATCAAATTCTCGAAATAGAATGCAGGCGTGAGGAATGTCGTCGGAATCTGAAGGCTCTGGAAAAAAGCATCGCCCCGGCCCTTGCCGTCGAAGAGCGGTACCTGAGCATCGTCGGCTGGCAAGCCTACTCAGACTTTGTCAACATGGCAGGACAAAGGCGCAGGAGACAGCTCGATGTTGCAGATCCAATGTCTACTGCCAAGTATTTCGGAACCGTGCTCCGACCAACCTACATACAATCGCATGCAGCATCGAGCCTTTCGTGAGTACGCACGGCAGTGTAATGAAATTAATGACATGGGTTTACAGTGAGTGAAAACTGAAGAGGCACACTCAAATACATCAACATCAACCGATTCTTGACTCAGACAGTATGGCTTGCATAGGACATTGTCTACACCTCATTGTCATTGAACGAGGTGAGCATAGAGTTTCTGGTTTCACGCTTCTGGATGGGCACGACTCCTTCGCTCGAACAAGCTTAATTTGTGCGTACTTTTCTTGCGACATGATCGCAAGTGTAGCTGAGATGGGATTGGGTGGGCCTGCCTCGACCGGATGCACAAAATGCCACAAGCTCAAAGGACAAACGACGTCACGCGGCCGTGATCCCAAATTGCAGTGTGCCGCAGCTGGACGATTGAAATCCTGTTTGAAGGTCCATTTCAAGTAGTGCTCATGGCTTGAAGGTGGTTCTTGTTAGACTCTATCTGGAACTCAAACGGCAAGACGGCATGATGCTACAACCAGGATCAGTTCAAGCTCGAACTGTGACGAGCCAGACAATCAGAAACCAGGCAGAGATGCCAAAACTAAGCATGATTTGCTTGGACAAAAGCTGAAATCATTCTGAATCCCCGGAAAAGGCCGGCTGCCACAGACTTCTTCTGGATCCGCGGTATGCGATAGTCATGCGGCGGCACGATGCCATTGGTGTCTTCCGCGGTGGACCAGATCACATGGCAAACCTAAGCGAGACTGTCAGCGTGCACCTTGTTCTGCTAAAGGGACTTCGCATTAGCAGATTCCGAACCCACCTTTCACCGATTATCGAAGCGACAACCCGACAGCTGGCGCTCCCATCACGGCTAGCCTGTTTCAGCCTGCATGCACCGAAAGGGAACGAAAGCAAGTCGGGCCGTGTGCAATCGGAGGGCCTGTGTCTCGGCAGCAGCCTCTGCGTAGATCTTTGCATGGGCACATTCTTTCTCAGGAGAGAAATGGTCCCAGAAGAAAGTGATGCAAAAGGCGCCGTACGCTCCTTTCATTGCTTCCTTGACCTGTTCCTTGTCGTCAATGTTGCACTGCACAACTTCCGCGCCCAAGTCCGCCAAAGCCAGGGATGCCTTGGAGAGCGCGTCTCTGGTGACGGCACGAACCGCAAAGGCCCTGCCAGGATCCTGCCTCAGGTTGCAGCACCTACTCGATACAACCCTTGGCTTGCAGGCATTCGCAAATCACGGAGCTGCCAAAACTTCCAAGTCCGCGGGGCAGGATAGCACGTACCAGGGCACCACCCTGTGCACCAGTTGCACCAAACACCGTGATGATCTTCAAGTTCCTTACTTGCACAGAACACCAACTACGTTGGTTCCTTCGACAGAAGTGTGCCGCACCTCTCCGAGCGTCGCAAAATCGGGTTCCGCTCAACTCAGCTTCAAATGGCAAGAACTTCCCAATGAAACAACCCCGAAAGCAGCTCCCGGACACCGACTGAATCCTTTCAGAACAGACGGAACGCAGATCAGGTGTCTCTACAAGAGCCGGGAACGTCTAAATCCTGAGCCCTTCACTCTTGGACCACCGGCCCCTGCCCACTGCACTTGTGGCTTAAAGCCTGGGCCGAGGCTCCGCTGCAAAGCCTGGACATGGTCCCTTCCAGAGGAAAACCAGGCATGCAAAGGTCTTGCTGCAGCCACCAGCTCCTGTGTTCTTGAGATGCTGCGGATCTTGCAGGCTTCCTCGTTGCAGTCCTTGAAGTATTGAAACCTCACATGTAGATGAGCGTCTTCTGTAAGTAAGCATCATGACCACGGGGTTTATCCGAACGAGTGCTCAGGGGCAATCTAGCTCCCCGAACACTCAGATGACTCTATTTATATATCCTTAGGCATGAGACCGCCAAACTCTCCAGGGTCTGAACCCAAAATCCCAAACCCTGAGCCAGGCAGACCGTCGTACAAGTTCTGGGCTGCTTTTCTGCATCCAGTCAGCCAAGTTGCATTAATCCTAGGGCCTCGGACTTGGAAGCATGCATTTTGCGGAATTCGGCTGGAGGCAAATATCTGAAGGCCACCTCTTCTCCCAAGTGTTTGGAAAACACTCCTGCGATCTGCGATCCAGTAAGCAGATCTCCACACACAGGCACATATTTCCTGAGCATGTCCTTCCCCTTGCGAAAAATCTGTCGGGCACACTCAGCGACGTCCTCTGCAGACACCAAGGGCACTGGCTGATCGCGGCTGATCGGCAGCTCGACGAAAAGTTGTCCGTTCGGCGCTCGGCGCGGTAAGAAGCCAAGGGCTTCAAAGTCCAAAAAACTTTCATAGAAGAAAGACGGTATGAGAAAAGTTGTTGGAACTTCTGCTTCATTGAAGTAGTGATCACTTCGGCCCCTGCCGTCGAATAGAGGCACTCTGCATCGTGACTTGTCCAGGGGCAAGGTTTCTGAGTCGTCCGGAATTATAGCGCATGTGTCTTCCTCGATAGTCTGGCACTGTTTGTTGCGATGAGGTTGCAAAGAACAAACTTGAAAAGAACAGGCTTCCAAGTTGAGGTGTAAGGCGCGAAAGTGGACCAAATGACATGCTCAAGATTAGCTGCCTTCGCAGCAGCAGCAAATCTTTTTGCAGCCAGCTGGGTTCCACGTGCAGAACAGCTGAACGGATTCAAGGTACAGTAGGCTCCATGTGCACCTTCCTCAGCTCCACCGATCCACACTGCGAAACATGTTATGGACTGAAGTTTCAGCCAACCTTTCCACAGCTGAGTCACAAGGATTTCGGCGAGTCCCTTCACATCATTCGTGTGCTCAAAGACCTCCATGGATCTGTGGGACAGAGATGCCATGTAAACTGGCAAGATCGCAAGACTCTGACTTGAGGGCCGGAGGCATGGAGAACGAAAGCCCGACGGCGCGTTTATCCGGTAGATGTTTTTTGGGCAGGTCAGCAGCCTTTTATCTGCGCGAGGATGGTAGTAGTCGTCGTCGTCGTAGCGGTAGCGGTAGCCGTAGGGGTAACGGTAGCAGTAGCCGTAGCAGCAGCAGCAGCAGCAGCAGCAGTAGTGGTAGTAGTAGCTTTTGAGCTTTGGGCGTAGCGGTCGGGAACTGCAGGAGCAGGCGTGAAGCCCGGCGACTAACGCACCACCATTTGAGTGGCATCGTATCGTCAAATGATCTCCTTCACTGTCCCGTAGGACCTAGAAGCATGAAAGAGCAGCGTGCAGCCTTAGCCGCAATCAAAAAGAGGGTTCAGCTCGCTGGGTATACGAGCAATTAGCAGCACTTATCCAACCATTCAATTGAACTGGCTGCTTATAAAGCGGTCCGCCAACCATCACAAGTCCAGTACATATCATCTTGAAAGAGAACCGTCTGGTCGTGACCTGAGCGCGGGTGCGAACCATGATAACATACTGCCGCTTTGGGAGTGTACTTTATGGGTCAAACTCCAAGGTTGGCATTGTGCAGGCATTCCTCTCGGTCGCTGATGGGTAAGCGGATGAGCAAATGCTCATGTTGGGGCGATGCACTCAACTTTTCCGTAGTCTTCGAAATTATCAGGATCTGCTCTGGAAGATGCTTGTGACAGACCACATGATGTGTGTGTGTGTTCATGGCATTCCTGTGCCAAAATAACCATATCACACTGGTGCAGAGCGAATGGGAAGCCACATCGGATGTTCATGGGGTCGGGCAACCGGGTGATGCGGGGTCCAGTGCTTGGCCTTTGCTGCTACATCTTCCAAGTATACCTCCGGGACTTTCGGATCCCATCACGGTGCAATGACTGGTGAATGTATGACATGCTCACGAAGCAGTTCATGCTTTTATGGCACCACCCCTAGTCTTGCTGAAACATCTCGCGAGATTCCGGACATCACATGGGAAAATCGTCAAGATGCACACGGCTGTTGATGTCGAATGATGTCGACCAGGATCAACCAATTCCTATGTTCGTGGATGCAGGTCGCCTGCGACTCCAAGGTCTCGGTCAGCTTCCGGGTGCAATGAAACCTGGTTACCACTTCTCCCTTCAAAGACGCTGGCATACAGGCCCTCCAAGATCTCTTTCACCATAGTGACATAGTGGTGCTGATGGGTGCCCTGTCCTTGTCCTCCTGCAAGTGGCGCAGGGCTCCGTTCCACACTGGGTATTTCCAAGACCAATGGCATCCATCCACCCGTGATCCTGAACTTCCTGTTGCCGGCTTTGGTCCGCCGGAGTAGTAGTAGTAGTCGTCGTCGCCGTAGTGGTAGTAGTGGTGGGAGGAGGAGGAGGAGGAGGAGTAGTAGTAGTGGTAGTAGCAGCAGGTGGAGGAGGCGGAGCGTAATCGGTCAGAGTGCTCCCAGGACACGCTTCCAAACATCGGACACATTGTGCAAGCATGTCTGGGGAGGCAGCCGCCGATGAGTTCTGTAGCTGGTCATCTTTACTGACTGTTGCTACAAAACTCGGGTATGGATATATCAATCCCCCCCCCCTCCCCACCCCTCCCGGAACCACGGAATCCGTGTGCACCGTTCAATTTAGCCCCACTCCCTCCTCCCCCCAACCCCAAGCCAGGCACTTCGTGTGAACCGTTCAAACGAGCCCCTCCCAGGCCCTCCCACCTTAATTCACACTATCAATATCTATCAATAATAGTCTGGTTTCCGGCCTTGGACTGCCTCCCTGCTCAAAGCAAGACTCAACTCAAGCCCTGCTGCGCGAGCTTGACTTGGCTTGTGCGGAATCTGCTTCATAAAGCTGCGTTAGGGGAACGCTACGTAACATCACCTCGTCCGCAGCTACCCGTGGACTGTGGCGGACAACTGCAAGTCTGAGGAACCTCTGCACCCAGCTTCTCCAGATGCTGAGCTGAAAAGGATGTCGCATCAGGCACAACAGCTCGGACACGGGTGCGGTGTTGCAGAAGGCACCTTACCACCTGGGGGCTTGTTCACGTTTGTTCCGCCGTGAACGACATTCAGATACATTCAGTTTCTTAGTACATAGTAACGATGCCAAGCTGCAGCATTGCCCTCTGTACCGGTGGCATCGAAGACCACAATGGGCGGTCCGCTGAAGACGCCACCCATGAGCTGGCCCGGCCCCAAAGAGCCGCATCCGAAACGGCTCCGGAAGCAAAGCTCGAGCTGAGCTCTAAGACCGGTCCCTTGCCAACAGAACTGACCCTCAAACTCTTTCAGCCAGCCATAGCCAGCGCCAGCGTCGGGCATGACAATGCTTGGCTCTCGGCTTTGGTCTCCCACATCTGCCCCACCCAGCAAGAGGCGCAAGCGCTGTTCCTGCCTGGCCTCACAGAGGTCAATGAATGAAATCCATGTCTGGATTGAGAGCTGAAGGCATAAGAAACCCGTGACCTAAAACAGTGGCTCTGCAATATAAACACCGCTTGCAGCGCGGGGGCTGCGACACCCATTGGACCCGTGTTCAACTCAAGACATAAGCCTGTAGTGAACCATCATGGGGAGTCAGAGCCAGGAAACAGTATCATAGTGTGCTGCAGCAGAGGCACTAGATTCTCATTAGAACTGATTATCCGCGTCTTCTGTTCATGAGGCAAAACTTCTCGCTGCTGGGGAATGCTGACACGCTGCAAGCCTCACTTCTTTACGCTATTAGGACATTGAGGACCACAGTAACACAACTCAACACCTCGAATTTGCTGAGAACCTTTTTTATCCTTTGTTGCAGGCAGTCTCGGGCAGCAAGCCGAACCTAGCTGGTCTTCCGCCGTTATTTGCTGAGAACCACTGAAGAACCGTCTGCAACAATCACCACACGTGGAAGCATTGCACAGTGAACCGAAGGAGGACTGCAATGAACATTCACACTATGCATCATTTTGCCCTATGATGCCTTATGCACGGAAGGCATCAATGCAACGTGCCACTAGAACAGTGCAGAACTATATGGCATGTGCTCTCCACACTGAGTGCCACACTGAGTGCGGCAAACATGTTTGTCTTGTAACCCTGCTTGCTGCCTGGCGCTTCTCCTCCTTCTCACGCCGCACGGCCGAAGGAACGTAAAGGCGAAGACGCTGAGGCACAGGGAGCAGCCAGCAATTTGTGTGACGATACAGCACAGGCTGCCCATGTCTGCGAAGATCCCATTGCTTACAACTTTCTGCATGTACTCATGCCCTGCATTAATGCGCGGCGTGAAAGGGATGCATGAGGTCCCGACGCAAACGTGTCCATGTTAAGTGTGATGCATGCAAGGTAATTGCGGCAGTGTTGCATTGCACCGTAGCAAAAGTACCCGTACCTAGCCCTACACCTCTGCCATACACGTTGGCAGGGCTTTCAGTAATCCAGTGCCGGGTCAGCCCACCTGCGTCGGATACCCCGTGAAAAGCGCCAGAGCCTGCATTTCCACGGGGGAGCAAAGCACAGGGATCAATCGACAACGGATAAATCAGGAACAGCTCGAGCATCCACGCGTCTAGGTACATTCCCACTGTGGTGTTGTGGCAGTCGATCCTGCTTGCCTCTGCAAAGGTGCCGCCTTTCAGTGCACCATAGCAGCCTCAACAGCAAACACCCCAATCATCAAGAGCAGCACAAAGAAGCGGCTGTGCAGAGGAAGCACGACCATTCCGGTCTCAACTTGATCCATATGTATCTCATATATATATATATATGCATGTATATGTGTGAGTGTATGTGTGTGTGTACGTATGTATAAACAACTATATATCTATATAATCTATATACATATACCTAGGGGCTGAGTACCCTAGCCCAAAAAGCGTTAACCTTTCAATTATGGTAGGATTATATATAAGCCCAAGCAGGTCAAAGGTTACCTACTCAGCTACTAAGTATAGTATGCCTTCCTTCCAGGCGTATAGACTAGAATCTGAACTTTCAGGTTGCAGAGCCTCTGAACAAACTTCTGTGTGCAACGATGTCTTGCGCAACGTTTGTACATGAGTGTGATACCGTTAGTCATCAAAAGTCTGTCGTCTGGATCAGCTCCGGGTGACGGCGGCTTCTCACAGTTGCTTTAGCGAATCTTGCTCGACAATTTCAGGCAGCATCTCGCCAAAACGAAAATTCGCAGGAGCCAAAACAAGGCGGAACAAAGCCACTACCAATCAGCAAACGCATGCGGTATGCATGCAATCGTTTTCGCCGGCTTAGGTAAGCATTTTTGTTGGTGCCACATTTGCCACAGCTTTGCTACGAGAGGATTTTGCAAACAACCTAGTTCTGACGACAGCTCGTGCCAGAAGTCACTGCCGATTCAAAAGAACAAGCAACACGTATCAAGCAGGATCTCTCTACTCGGAGATGCTACGCAGCTAATACTTGAGATTCCGGCCGAACAGCTTGGCAGCTGCCTTGCGGACATCCATTCCCCCCCCCTTCTCGAGTGCCACAGCCGAAATTCTGGATTTGATCCGCGAGGCCTTCTCGACCAAGGGCGGCCAGAGCTGGCGTCTGGCGCCCTGCGCTTGACCGCATCAGCTTCGGAGAGTAGCTGGGCAAGCACGTCATTATGACCAGGCTTGCCGCTTTCGGAGGCGAAAGGCGCCAAGGAAACCGGATGACTTTTTCTTCGTGCTTCTTGATGCATAGGCCGTCTTTGCCTGTACAAGATTGCTACAGCCATGCAACTTCCGATGTTCTGGCAGACCTTGGGGCGAGACAGGTGTGGGAAAAAATGCGTTCCACTGGATCTTGCACTAAATTGCTGGCACAGAAGGTTGTCTCTTTGCCCAGCCGTGCTCTTTACCGAGCCGCAGGCAAGATTGTCGGTGCGAGGCTTTACGGCCAGTAGCTCCCAGCATAGCTCAAGCGTGCCCTGCGCACCTCACAGACTGCTGCGGACAGTTTGATCCGAAGCAAGAAATCCCACCCCTTGTCGACCATTGGTCACACCAAGTCCTGGAAATACGTCAACGTCAAAGCCCCGGGAAGGGTCGGACCCAGCCGGCGACCGCTGCCTCCAGCGGAAGGCTGCAGAAGAAGTCGAGCAACCTCGCATGATCGCAAGGCCGCACATAGGGTTGTCCAGCATCTTACAATACGACAGCGTGTCATGTAACCATCATTGACACAAACACCTTCACAGCGCACCATGTGTTCCGGCTTCCGTCAAACAACCCGCCAAGAAAGCTGTCGCAAATGCAGATGCTCCTCTTCCAATCCAACTCGTTCTTTGTATCTAAGGCAAGATGAGCTTCGAAATGTCGCGGGTGGGTTTCACAGGCTCACCGTCCTGAACTCTCCAGGCAACGTTCGGTCCATCCTCCACCGAATCAGCTTTTTCGGGAGTTGGGTTATTCCCTGTTGTGTGACATGGCCGCGCAATTGCCGCGCTCTGAACACTGTAGCACGGACTATTTGAGGCGTCAAAGTCAAAATAGTGTCAAAATGTTCGCTTGTCTGCCTGGTTTGGCCCATCCGTCTGTCTGAGTCTCTTTCTTTGAGCCGATCATGTCTACCAACTGCCTGGCCTGCGTGTATTTCCCGACGTTGAGGCTGAGCCAGCCATTGCCTGCGTCATGTCACATAACGTGGGCCGCCGCGTCGGCGCAGTACCATGTAGGAGCTACCCGTAGTACCCGTTTGCAGAGTCGTTTCGGCCCCCGCTTCTGTCAAGCACCACGGCTTGTCCATATTTCTTCGGTCCAATATTGCATTAATAAGCGTAAGTGGCATTCTTGCAAACTGACTTTCCTGTCCTACCTCGTTTTGGCCCAATTGTGTTTTCTCTTGCTGGGTTTTGCTTCGGAACACCTCTTTTGACCGTTCTTGATGCATTCGCAGCTCGCCCCGGGGCATAGGGTAGCACCCGGCAATTCTTGATTGTCTCGCTCGTGTTTGCAAATCCGACGCCATATCGGGGCAACGTAGAGGACGTCTTCGTCTGGCTCTCACCAAGAAAACTGTGTATGATACACCCAACATCAGTGTTGCTGCAGCACGCCTGGCTCGGCGTGGGGATCCCCTCCCCAGAACTGAGGAGATCTATCTCCTCAACACACACACACAGTGGGCCAAACATTTCGCCAGACTTGAAGCGCCAGGTCGACTATGTTTCTATCTGCCTCTGTCGGTGTCTCTGTCTGGGTAGGAGCGTAGGCTGCGTAGGCACATAAAGCTGCTCCCTGTATCTCTTGCGTCAAGGCTCGAGCTCTCTGCCTGTCTGTGTCTCTCTCTCTCTCTCTCTCTGAAACAGAGCGGACACCCCCCCCTCGCCCGCCAGCGCGCACCTGCGGTCCACGGCAGG